CTTTTTGTAATGATAACTTGAACAACCTTAGTGAGTCTTTCAATAAGACCATTAAGGAAGCTAGAAAGAAACCTTTGCTTGAGATGTTAGAAGATATAAGGAGGCAGTGCATGGTTCGTAATGCCAAAAGAGCTTATGTAGCTTCACGGTTGAAGACAAAATTCACTAAGAGAGCACATAAGGAAATAGAAGCTACAAAGGAGAAGGCGAAGGATTGCAAAAGGTATATGGCTTGTGGAAATGTTCATGAGATAGATGATGGTGGTGTTTCATATTCTGTGGATATGGAAGGTAGAACTTGTGGTTGTATAAAGTGGCAATTGACAGGGATACCTTGTCTCCATGCTTCATGTGTTATCATGGCGAAGAAGCTTAGGTTTGGTGATTTTGTTTCTAGCTATTACACTGCTGAGATGTGGTGCTTAACTTACTCACGTGGTATTAGACCTGTACAAGGTATGAAGCTATGGCCTAGGCTTAATAGATTACCTGTCTTACCACCACCCTATAGATTAGGAAACCGAGGTCGACCAAGTAACTATGAGAGAAAGAAAGGTCAGAATGAATCGTTGTCAACAACAAAGTTATCCCGACAATGGCGTGTGATCACATGTTCTAATTGTCATGAACAAGGCCACAACAAGACTACATGCTCAAATGCTGCTGTTGAGCCACCACCAAAAAGGCCCAGAGGACGACCAAGAATTCACTTTCAGGTACATTTACCTCTTAAGAAATAACTTTACATATTGTTAAGTTAGTATAGTAATTGTTCTTTAATTTTATTTTGTTTAGGGAGAAACATCAGAGGGAATAGGGTCTCAAGAACCATCACAAGAGATTCCTCAAGGATCACAAGTAGGATGAGGTGATTGCGGTTTCTCAAGGCTCATTGGAGATTGCTGTCGTTTAAGTCACAACTTTCTTTTTACTTGTCTCGGATGTTAGTGTAGTAGATGCTTTGTCTTTCTCTTTTGGTGTTTTGGATGCTTTATCTTTGTGTTATGGTTATGTGGATTCTTTGTCTTTATCTTTTTGATGCTTTGTCTTATGTTAAGGATGCTTTGGTTAAGGATGCTTTGGCTATGTTATGATGCATTATGTTTAAGAGTTTGTTTGTCTAAGATTGTGTTTTACAGAGTAACAAATTGAAGAAGAAAGTATCATAAACACATAAGCATATTCATAACCAAAGATGATTTCATACATAAGCAGAACCAAACATAATCTCTTACAATATAATCCCATACATTCCAAAAGACAATGAGATCCCAAAAGACAATACATAAACAACCTTGCTGAATCGTAAACACACATTAATGAAGCACATATGCTCCAAATGCCAAACTAACAAAGACAGCATACACCACAAGACCTTTGATTACAACTTTGTTCTTCTCTATTTCAGTTTTGTTTTTCAGGACAACCTCCATCAAATCTTCAATGTCGACTTTCACCTTTTCAATCTCGGTTTCATGGACTACTATTTTTGGCAATGCATCTTCAACTTCTTCAAGTATTGCTTCTTCCACCCATTTAAACAAGTGATCCTTTAAAATGAAAAATCAAAGGGAATCAAAGTCACTTATGGCCTCTGCTCACAATACATATAAATCGGATATTAATCAAAGTCACTAAACAGAAAATCACATTACCTCTCCTCTGGTTTCACAACGGAAGAAGGGGCGTCCGGGATTGTCTTGGGTGCTTGATGTGAACTTCGTTATCCCTGCTCCACATCCACAGTTTGAAGGGAAACCACGGTTCATGGTGCTAGAGAGAAAGATTAAGAGGAAACAAGTTCTGGGTTTGTATGTTTAGAGGAAAACGAGAGTGAGACACGAGAGATAAGAGAATTAGGGATTTAAAGAGGTGAATTGGGGATTTCTGCTTTAGATTAGGGTTTCTTTCATTAATCCAAAACGACGTCGTTTAACAATTAAACGTCTGTTAAATGATATTTAACGGTTAATTAATTACAAGGTTAAAAGTACTTGGTCAACGAAAGTTAATGATTATATTGTGTTTGACCAATAATTCGTGGTTTAAATGGCCTATTTTGAAATTCAAGGTTATTTTGGCTTATTTTGGAAAGTTCGCGATTAAAAAGTCAATTTTCCCTTTAATCGCATTTAGTAATAAAACCCCTCAACTAAAGATATAATGTAAAAAACCCCCTAAACTAAAAATTTAATGAAACAAAGCCTCAACTTTAGTTCTGTTAACGTATGTCACCCTCCATCTAAAATTTTGTGACGGAAGGTGACAGATATAAACGGAACTAAAGTTGAGAGTTTATTTCACTAAATTTTTATTGAGGGTTTTTTTTACGATCCATTTTTAATTGAAGTGTTTTATTACTAAAAACCCATATATATATATATATATATATATGGTCATCATACTTTCCTATTATGTGTTA